CCGAGGTGGCGCTTTTATTCTCCAGTTGAATACCTGGGTGTGGTTTTTAAGGATCATCTCACAGTCCCAAGTGGTACTGTCTCTGAAAGAGTTAATCCCAAAAGCGACATCTTTCTGCACGTCCCAACGGGTTGTTGGGTCAGTGAGTTTCCGTCCGTGAAAGCAGCAGCATCAGCGTCAGTATGGGTGAGTGTCACTTCTAATGCACTTTTGACCATTGCTCAGACTTTTTTTTTCTCGAGCATTCGACATTTTCATCCGAATTTTTAGTACGCAATTGCTCCAATTTGGAAGAAAGAATTTCTTCATAAGAGATTATTTTCATTTAGACATGAGTTATAGGCCTGTCAAAATCATTAAGATAGAATTCGTGCAATGTTGCTTTCCTTCGGAGTGCACTAAATTAGCTTTTTAACGTTTTCTGAGGCATGTTGAAGACTTCAGAGTCTACATGTAATCAAATTGATTTACAACAAAGAACAAACAAGTTGTTATTGCAGCTAACCTAACATTTTAACCTTTTATTATATATCAATCTCGTGCAATACAGAAATAATTATGTTATTAACACATAATAATAGTGATAAAAGGCTTATACATTTTATTTTTTTCTTATTGACCTCAATATGGCTCATTAGCCTGTAGAGTTCATCTTTATTGACATCATTGAACACAGACTTAGAAAAAGTTATTTGTGTGTGTGTTTTCATCTTTGACTTAAAATTCAGAGTTTAGCTTTGATTACACAACAATTTTTATTTTGGGGATGGTTGGTCAATGAGGGGGCTGACCTTCACATAACCCATAAACATTTGGCTATCAAGGGAAGGATGTTGAACAATTCTTGGCAAGACACAGTGTCTCCTAGATAGTGACATTGCCCTTATGTTGTAGTTGGGTTTATGTGCTTGTTTGTGTGTTTTTCCTTATGTCCAATATTTACAACAAGGCAGTAAAAATGTGTTATCTAGTAATATCCAGTAGTTCACTCATCATTCTTGCCTTTCAAGAGTGAACACACTACATGGTGCACTTTGTAGTTCAAAAGATTAACTAACCCACACATTTAAATAATATGCAAAAACTTTATGCCTTTATTTAATTTCTCAGATTTTTATTACGGATGAAATGCATAACAAGCTAAATTTAGTTTATGATAGGATACTTCCCAGATTGAATTATGTCTATATGACTGCATCAGTCTGGCCTACTTCAATAGTTGAATAACTGACTATAGCTCACATAGAAATATTTGAGATGTGACATATGCTTTCTCTCATTGCTTGTAGCTTCTACCTGTTCAGGATGTGGACCAGGATATAAAACCCCTCTGGATGCAATGAAAGGTGAGTTGTTTTAAAACATAAGAAAGCATATTGTCTAAACAATAAGATGGTAGTAAATATTAACATGTGAGTTGGTAATACATTGCAAGTCACTACAAGGGAGCAGTGACCTAATCAGATGAAAGGAGCGTTTCAGCACCGCCCACACGTGCGAATGAAATATTGAAGCCATAAACCGAATTTTAAACCCCAAACGAAAAATGTTAAACTAAACGGAAAAACGAATAAGCGAGCCGTTTTTCCATTTCTCGTTATTGCATTCCAAATAGGAGATGAAATGATCAAAACGTACACGGACCCTGTTTACATGTTTGTAGGTTAGTTTTTCATGACAATGTTTTAAAGCTAAACATCCTGTATAAATGCTTTGTGAATTCGAATTGCAGTTCTGCACCCTTCCCTTGCTAACTCGATTCAAATTCACGAACTGATTTGAACATTAAGAGCATTTAGAATTCAGCTCTGAATTGCCTGCATACCTGAAAAGATGTGAAAATGGTAGTAAATATTAACATGTGAGTTGGTAATACATTGCAAGTCACTACAAGGGAGCAGTGACCTTTTTAGGATATAAAACCCCTCTGGATGCAATGAAAGGTGAGTTGCTTTAAAACATAAGAAAGCATATTGTCTAAACAATAAGGTGGTAGTAAATATTAACATATGAGTTGGTAATACATTGCAAGTCACTACAAGGGAGCAGTGACCTTTGCACTGGAGACTCACTGTCATACACATGTACTCACATGTGCTCACTGAACAACTTCTGATCTTGCAGCTCCTCCTCCCCACCAGCAGAGGTCCTCCTCACTTGCGAATTGGCATTGCTCTGCATTGTTTGGTTTGCCTACTGTTTTCCCTCAAAAACAAAAACAAAATCCTGTCATACACTATAAACTTGCCTCAAGTTTATATATCACTGTACAATTTTTTTTTTGAATTTGGTAAAGGCAGTTAAATTTCTATGTGATTTTAAACCTAAAGACAAAAATACTTTTAGCATGATACATTGCGTTATACCTTAGAAATTCTTTGAAATTATTATGTGTTTAAAATTATAATGAATATTTTTTATGTATAAATATGATTGATCTAACGGGAAAACCAGTATACATTTTGTCTTTGTAAAATTTTGTTTTTTTAATGCTGGAGTCATTATAAAAAAATCTGTTTAACTGGCTTATATAGGCATGCAAAATCTATATACATATAAAAACACCATAATCACATAATTTTTTAAAAATTGAATAAATCTTGTTATTTTGTGTATTTAAGCATGCAAAACACTTAATAGCAGATTTTTATGTTTAGTGCATTTTTTATCAAATGTGGACACAAATGGTACACCCTTTATGGAATTTTTTGATAAATGATAGGAAACACAGATTAATAGATTTAAACTTTAAACTTAAACATAAATTCTTCCTACAGGGCCTCGAGAAGAGATAGTCTACCTGCCATGCATTTACCGTAATACAGACATTCAGAAACCTGACTATCTTGCAACTGTTGATGTCAATCCACAATCTCCCAATTTTTGCAAGGTAATAGCAAATATGATTAATAAATACACACTTAAAAACTATTTTAGATTAAAATGTGGCAGCAACATGCTTCCTTTTAATATTTGTAGTATAACTTTAGTAGCATTTTTTCTATTTACACCCTCTTGTAATGGTCTAGGTGATTCATAGGCTGCCCATGCCTAATCGAAAGGATGAGCTACACCATTCTGGTTGGAATGCCTGTAGCAGTTGTTATGATGATCCCTCCAAAAGACGCAATCGTCTCATTCTGCCTTCCCTGATGTCCTCCCGTATCTACGTCGTTGATGTAGGGACGGATCCACGGACCCCACGGCTTCATAAGGTTCATTTTAGTAAACACTCAGTTATACAAGAGCCTGGCTGTATGAATACCCTTATTGTGATGGTGTTAACTTTGTGGATGAACATCTGGGTTAGTAATCTGAGGAAGTTTAAAAACCCAGGAGCAATTCATGAACTAGAGAGTTGCTTAAATGACTTGATCTAGTTGCTCCAAAAGGGCTTTTCCTACTTATATGCATATGATTTTTAATTTTAACTGCATGCTATAGTACTTCATGCTTCACATTTGGTAAACTCAGACAAGCAAATGTGTATCATGAAAATATATTTGACCAGTGGAGGTCACAATCTCAAAGATGAACCACTTGGCTGAAAATCAAACAAAACCACAATACTTTTGGTTAAAATAAATGCTCTATCAACTCTATCAAATAAATACGCTCTGTCGACAGCATCTGTTTACTATAGAGCCCCGCACATGATATGCAGTAAAGAGATATATATATTGTGGCCACAAATTAAGAATTAGTTTCCATGACTTATTAATTAGTTCCCTTGTTTTAGTTAAATTGTGGCCACGAAGTAAGAATTTGTTCCCTCATTTTAATAAATCGTGGCCACATTGTACAAATATGTTCCCTAATTTAGTCAATCGTGGCCACGTAGTACTAATTCATACCCTTGTTTTAATTAGTACAATGTGGCAACGATTTACTAGAATGAGGGAACAAATTAATAAGTCGTGGGAACAAATTCTTAATTCGTGGCCACGATAAATATATTTTTGTCATGTGCCCCCAATATTTGTTTCAGTTTCTGTTAAGAAAAGCCACAGAGAACCTGATCGATTTTAGCAGTTTGAATTTATTTTAAAAGCCCAGAAGCATGACATCATGTCCTGTTACCCATATTGATTGATTTTGTTTAACATCTACAACATAATGCTGAACATCAAGTGTGACCACCCCTTAATACATGACTGTTGACTTTAAGAATGTTTCGTTCTTTCCAAGCCCATGAATTCTTTCCATCTCTCTCCTCCTCCAGATAGTCGAGCCCATAGATCTGTTCTGGAAATGCGGCCTTGCCAACCCCCACACTTCTCACTGCTTAGGCAGTGGCCAAATCATGATCAGTACAGCAACATTACACACTAACTAACATTAAAAAAGTGAAATCGTAATGAACCACCCCTTTAACAGTGTAAATAGGTCAGAATGCATGAAATGGCATTAGACATCCCCTTTAATGGAAAAACTCAGGGAATGAACAAACATTAATTATTATGTACAATGTACAATGTCATTTCCAAACCAAAAAAAGCACTATAGTATAGTTTTAAGACTTTTTGACAACAGTAACCCACTAAATACAATGATCCCCTTAGCAAAGGACTCCCTTTCTAAAACATAATGGTTGCTATATGTTTTTTCTACATACTGCTAGTGTTTTATATATATATATATATATATATATATATATAGGACTGTCAATAGAATTAAATAGTTATGAATAATGATTATTTTTTGTTTATTTCTGACTATTTTTGAAACTAATATGAAATATTATGCATGTAAATGTTTACATTTAGTAATTTTTGGGGGGTTTTCTCTCAATTTCTTTTTCTCTCTCATTTTCCCTGCACCCAAATGTAACAATCTGCTTTAATGACAAAAAAAAAATGGTCTGAATAATAAGTTGTGACATTTTTCTAAATATTGTTAGCGTAATGTATAAAATTTTTAAATTTTTATTTTTCTCTCATTTTTCCCCTTTCAATTTTTTCCTGGACTCCAGTTTGACAATCTGCTATAATGGCAAAATGTTAAAAGAAATTAGACACTCATTTACCCATGTATTTCTTGCCATAGGTCTCATTACTGATATCTTGATCTCACTGGATGATCGCTTCCTGTACTTCAGTAACTGGTTGCATGGAGACATTCGACAGTATGACATCACTGACAGGAGGAATCCACGTATGGTTGGTCAGGTAAGACAGCTTGGATTAGCAGGATCAAGACACCTTTGTCTACATTTCTAAAATCATGTCAAAGACAAATAAAGTAAATATTTTTAAGGTCTTCCTTGGGGGCAGCATTTTGAAAGATGGACCAGTGAAAGTATTGGAGGACAAAGAACTGGATAGCCAGCCAACCCCACGGATACTGAAGGTACTATTTCATTTCCAAGTATGCTTCATGTGAGATCTGTGTACACATTTGAGTTAGCCATTTATGTAGAGAAAAACAGCCTAAAGCTGTTGGTAACTAAGTAATTGACAGATGACCCAGCTTATTGTCCTCCAAATCATTAGGTCATGCAGACCTAAACAGAGCAATTAGAGCATATCATTTGTTGGAGGTCAAAATGTTCCTTTCCTCATCAGGGAAAGCGTGTGCAGGGAGGCCCTCAGATGCTCCAGCTTAGCTTGGATGGAAGACGACTGTACGTCACCACCTCCTTATACAGTGCCTGGGACAAGCAGTTCTACCCTGACCTCGTCAAGTGAGACAAAAAAATCTTTCTTTGTGATGTTACTTGAGTATTGTATGTAAATCAAGGATGAAGAAATGAGGCTGTTTAAATGGTTTTAGAAGTAACTTCTGATTTGTTTGTTATGCTGTAACATGTGTCTTATTTCTCTTGAGGGAGGGGTCAGTCATGATGCAGATTGATGTGGACACAGATAAAGGCGGCCTGAAGCTCAACGAGAATTTCCTTGTGGATTTCGGAGCAGAACCAGATGGTCCTGCACTTGCCCATGAGCTCAGATATCCTGGTGGAGACTGCACTTCTGATATCTGGTTATGAAATTGGGGCCAAGCCATTACGTTCCAAGGAGCAGAATTATTATTCCCATATTTTCACAACTGAGTGGAGATACAATATATCATCAGTATCATGATCATGTTTAATCTACATATGGATCTAAATCCTTAATCATATCATGTCAATTAGTGATTGCAAGAGTGAATCACATCTCAAATATAAAAATATATTTTTGTTGTCTTTATATGCTTTCTGCATTTTTTAAAATAAATATTTTGTATCCCATTGAACTCAAAGGCTTTCTCATTTGTTGTTGTAAGGGCTTTCCGAATCATTAGAATTGCAAAGTAGATTTTAAACACGTGGTGCAAGTGCACCGAGTGAGTGCACACAATCACCATCACTATAAGCGCACATATTTTAAAGTATCCTATTAGGAATACGTTCTAAAATAAAGCAATCAGTTATGTTGTATTACAGTGCTTAGAAACCATCAAAATACAAAAAAACAAACTTTTCAAGGAGTTACACCACTACATAAGGTAGTTTTGTTTATTGCCGTTGTAGTACACAAGTATGGAAATTTGTCTCTGCAAGTCTGAAGACAGGGACAAATATTTTATAAGAAGTATTATTAAAAAAATTTTTTTTTCTGTAATAATAAATAACTACAGTACAATTATAAATAGGAGAAATATGTAAAATGTTTAGTATAAACTAACCTGCATCAAATTAAATGTCATCTATTGACATATACATTGTATATATACACACACATACATACATACACTTTATAAACAAAAATAATAATAATTGTAAAACGTTATATGTAATATAAAAATATTAATAGCAATTGTTATACTTTTATCATTATTACTAATATTTCTTACTATTATTCTTATATAAATGAGAAGCAAAACGTTTTCAACATCTAATGTTTTTAACCTTTTATAACCTAATGCTTATCACCCTATTTAGCTGTGCCTCAAAGCCTAGCGAGCTTCCTATCTATACAGCAATTGTAGCCATTGCCTAAACGCCAGAATGCTGTCTTGGTAGGCAGCTCTCTTGTGTTTTGCGACACAGGCTGTACGTGTTGTATCCTGGAATCAGGCAGTTGATATGGGCAGCCCTGGCGTGTCATCTCTCCACTCACTTTCTTAGCGAACCACACCGGCTATTCAGCAACAGGAGAATCCCGACTCCCAAATGGGGCAGTTAAAACACAGATAAACCGATTATTTAAGCCTTCACCCGGTTTATTTCGAGGTAAGTCATATGTTTACATGTTTCCTTGGGTCGGTTCAAAAGTAAAAGAACGTTATAAAGTAGAGACGTTGCGTTAGCGGCTTGGCTAAGTGTAGCATCCGTTTGTGTTTTATGAGGCTTATCCTTTCAGGCCTTCATTACAGTTGAACATTTAATAATAACTAGTGTTAATTAAATTATGCTCTTGTTCAGCACACATACTATTATACTGTTTTTAAGGAAATCATCTCTTTGAGCCCTACAAGAGAGAAAAGTAGTCGACGTGTCAATTTAAAGGTCTCAGCTAAACATGCTCAGATGCTAACTTGAGTGCAAAAGTCATCTGACTGATAGACTGCTTACTTTTTAACGTCTGAAGTAGGACAAAACAAGTAATGTTTTGATTATAAAGCAGATCAGAGAAGAAATATGGTTGTTATTACGGGGTTTGGCCATAACCGCAAATATTTAGCTTGATGTGCTTGTACTGTCAGTTGTCTGTAGACTTTCAACTAACTTACGTGACATAAAAATAAATAACATTGACAGTGTGTTTTTATGGCAAGTTGATTAACTAGTTCAGCATTGCTATTTTAGTTAATCTAGATCATTATGTCCTGATCGAACCAGCTGATGCATCACATCAATCTAAATCATAGCTACCGATAGCCATTATAGAACTGGCTTTAAGTTTGTTGATTTCGTTTCAGTGTGTTTGATCTCAAGATTATTGGATTTCATGGTTTATTTATACTGTGGCAGTCTTGTAATCTAGTTACTCAAGGGTTTCATCAAATAGTTAGATAATAATGGTTTTTGGTTGTGGAAAGTGTTGTGGGTGTTGGCAGAAGGAGACTCTTGAGACTGATCATTCATGATCTACATGTTTTGTGTTCCTCTAGAGATCACTGTCTTCCTCTCACATTTCAGGGTAAAGGCTGATTGAATTTACTCTTTCCATTGCAATTGGAGAAGTTTGATGAAACATTTTGATACCAAACAATAGAAATAGGCCTGTGCTTGTGGTTAGTGTGAATCAGTGTTGCAACTCCTACTGTTATCAGTTTAGGCTTGTTGTAGAGCAGTGTTTTTCCAGTTTCACAGGATTTAACTCGGAGAAAGAGCTGGCAAGCTAGAACAACATACAAACTGTCAGTTTAGAGTAAACCATCCACCAGAGATGGATTCAGCATGTGATATGTGAGAGGAGAGCTGGCATCTTCGTCAAAGCTGACTCAGTCTCCACCATTTGACATGTGCTTTAATCTCATCACTTTTAGAATCAGTTTTGATTTCATCTATTACAGTTTCTGTTCCTGGTCTTAAATTTCAGTGATCTAAGAACAAACACTTTTGCTCATGCTAATCGGTCTAACTTATCTGACTTTCCATCACTGCTGTTAACAACATGAAAGTAGAACCACGTAGGCATGGGCCGATTACCGGTTTCAAGGTATACCGCGATTTGAAAATGTCACGGTTTTAAAACCACTAATATTTTCCGTTATACTGTTCCTGCGGTATGCGCTGTTTTTCATGTCTCCTCAAAGACTGAAAGAAAGTGTAGGAAGGAATCCCTCAGGTTGAGTGAGAGTAACACGACCCCTCCCCCTCCTGTTGGTGCCAGCAGTCAGTCAGGTGTGTGTATGACAGCCGAAGGAGCTTCCCCTGGAACTTACGTGATCGGCAACCGGCCGTTTTTTGTTTGTTTTTGTTTTATTGCAGCTCGTCTCTGTTCTGGACTTGCACAAACTGCGTTGCAATGCAATAGTTTTCCAAAATGTCATTTATGTGAAAATATGAAGTCTGTAAACACCCGTTA